GAGCGTTGTCACGAGTGCGTTGAACTTTGCACGATTAGGGCTACCTTTTTCAAAGGGTATCCGAGTGATTAACTGTAAACGGTCCCCGTTTCGAATAACTCGTGACGTGTTGCAAAAGACGGATGATGGTTTAGGCGGTGTAAGCGTGAGTAATTTCAGGCTGGTTGTCGAGCTTTGGATAGCTTTTTATCCCACAAAACATCGGACTGCAAATCAGTCCTATGCTATAAACCCACGAGGAACGATAAAGAAACGGCGAAAAAATGAAGGGAATAATTAACACATGCTGTGATGCGTGGGCAGTGAGACAAAAGATAATGTGGTCGCCAGTACATGCACCAAATGTGATGAACAAAGAGTAAAATAAAGCGGTTTGAGATTCAGTGGGTATGAGGATTTGACGGCGACGTACTTCCCGGATCCTCAAACTAGAGGTTTCTGCGAAAAACAACACGAATATATCAACAGAAGTGGGCTACCACTAAAGGCTCTAAACACCATCGTAAATTTCAAAAAATAAGTTTATGATCGGCTAAGCACCATGGCAGTGGTTCACAAACAATGAATATTCGAATAGTAGAGTTTGACGGCGATTATCTGTTTGGCAAAACGAGACTTTCTTTGCTTTTTGTGAGAAGCAATAAGGATCGCTTCCTATTAAAAAGCTCCAACCGTCGAATGCTTCGAAGAACGTTCTCTTATCACGTGAATCATGCGATTCCAAATGTTCGCTTCTATATTGTGATAGAAGTTCTAGTGGTAACCGAACTTTCGGGTGAAGCACGATAACTATTCTCGGGTATGGGTTATCCAAAATATCTACTCAATGCGAACGAAGTAATATAGTGTGGCGTGTAGTGGATGTTGCCTTGATTCTCCGGGTCGTGAATTCTCGAATGGTAACACTGTCTTCGGACCATAATGACTACGTCGTCCACGGAGAAGTTGAACTACAGAATAATTTTATTACCGTAGAATAAAGAACAACTTTTTCAACACACGAGTTTTTAACCGTGACATCATCCTACCTGGACAGTCCTCATCTGATTGCAAAAAGCCAATAACGGCAACAGGCAGTGTGGCCTTGTGTGAAGGTATGCACTGAAATTTCAAACGTCTTGAACGGAGATAGTCGATGAAACCATAAATCAGAAGTACGCTCTAAATCATCAGCGAACTTACCATCCGTCTTATTTCTTATTTCATCAACTTAAACCATTTGACCCAAGAAGGTACTTCATTTGCAGATCCAGGGGTTAAGCTGTTATCATATTTCTTTGAAAAATTGCCGTAACGGTTTATTCCTCTTGTTGTGATCACACCCTCATTAGATCCTGATTGTCTGCATCTTTGGCAACTTTGTGAAATACGACACCCCATTTATTAAAACGCTTCCAAGTGCTCTCTCGCTCACTCGATATCGCGTGCCTTGGTCTCTTGGCAAGCTAACCCTCCAGGGGTGGGATGTAGAATGGCTGGTCATCAACAATGAAATGTTCCGAAACCTCATAGAGGGCTTCGCACGCTTCACGCGCTCTAGGCAATACTAAATTGCATTGTTCGCTTTGGACTTGTCACGAGGTGTGCATGACCATGATATAGCACAGACAATAAGATTACAACAAACCGAATATCGTTTCTCATACGTCCCATCGAGGAACCATTCTGTAAACCGAATTTCCAACTACATCGTACAGTAATTCACAAAATAGTGGGGCCAGACCTACGCTTTGCAATATGAGTGAGTAATAACAAAGGGTTTGTAATATGAGTGTCAGTTTCAGTTTTTACAACCATTAAACAAGCACTTTCGTGCGCCGATTTTGATTCTCGTGATTGCCCATTGGAATAAAAGAGCAGAAGGAAGAATGGAATGTTATGATCAGAGTCAAAGAGAAGATAGAGGGGTCACATGGAGAATAAGTAGATGCACGAGCGCCACCGTTTACCAGTCAACCATATCTTTCACTGTCTTTAAACACCGTTTACGATAATACTGGGGTCACTATTCAGGAATCCGAAGGCGGTTTGTGTAAGCAAATCTCTGGGTTCGGGTTTTCATATTCCAGTATGGGTGGCGCAAACCTTAAGGTGCCGCAAATACTCTTTAATTAGTTGAAGATATGGCCGGACACAAACGACAAAGCATGTGCAAGGGTTATTATTAAATGCCCTGGTACGAATAACGGCAGAAACAGTAAACCCTATAGTTACTGTTCGCTTGCGTCAAGAGACCAGTTTTATAGAAGAACCACATAAAGTCCCAACAATATAGGCGCATTATTCATCCAGACAACATGTACGCAAGTCACACGCGTCTGAATCTAGACTATATCAAACAAATCACGGTACAATAATCTTTATAAAAAAGAAAAGTCTATGACTTGCTCCAGGTTTCCTAGGCCAAAGCAGGCGACAGCGGTGTTTACAACTACTATTGCAGGTAGTTAACCGAAAATGCTGAAAGAAGGCGGTCGAACAAGAAACATTCCTGTTTGTATGCGGAAAATTCGTCCGAAGTCCGTATGAAAACAGGAAGTCACACCGCGTATAACAACGTCTGTTGGGTATGCGGTGTGGGTCAAAGGAACATGACATACACTACTATCACTACTGAAAATCTCAACACCCGGTCAGTCATTTTATATAAATCCATCGAACGTTTTAGTCTGTTTTACTTTGCACCAACGCGACATGACGATAGAAGACACGCGTGTTACCGCCGATTGGTCAACTGGCCAAAGTAGCACACTTTATAGCAGACCAAACAAAAGATAAGAACATGTTCCATCTACCATCAAATGTGTTGTTCTATACCAAACGATTAGTCACCGAAAACAAGCCAGATTACTTAGTTGTGTTCTACCTATAGCAATTGCTGATAGGCTTCAATTAAGATCTAACTCATCTTGTTCGAGGGTTTAAAGAAAATGAAATAAAGATGCATCCATAAGATAGCAAAGATTTTCCACTTACAGTTAAGGCATCGGTAGGCTTGGAAAGATTCACTTCGTCAAAGACCACGGCATCTGCTAACGTTTTCGTCAATAATTGCATCTCTTCTGTACGCTGAAGTAAAGCTTGCAGGAGCTTGTATATCATTCGCACCGACTGTTCATGGCTTGCCCGTAACGTGTCACACGACTGTTAAGAAAGAAGATAAACAGTGTGGCACACTAGGTAAGATAGATTTCGCTGTAAAATGAGCACCCCACCATTGGCATGAAAAAAAATCGCAAAGAAAGAATAACAGTCGAAATGCAGTCTAGCATTCCGTGTGGAAGCTGAAACACCTGTTTATTTCCGCATCCATTAGATTATTTAGAAGCAGGCAATGAATTTCGCCCGAAAATATGACAAATCAGTGGGTCAATGGGCCGGATAAAGATGAATGGCATTCTACCAACCGTATCAGAGGCCACGGATTCGGCAACTTAGTAACTTGATAAATAACGAAAGCAACTGGGTGAAAAACAGGTGTTCAAAACAAAAACAGCACGATACTGGAAAAAATTTTCCTCCCAAGCCCCTGGTGTTCACTTTTGTCTCACGGGCCGAATTCCATGTTATAGAGATTGTCTGTTTAGCACACAGTCCGGACGCTGACGCGTTAGGAATATATAGTATTATAATAATTAGTTTACATCAATTTTGATGCCACCAACCATACACTTTGGTGCGCCGATTTTAGTTACTATCTTTTTGATGCCCACTTGGATAACAAAGAAGAAAAGGATTGTTGAGAGCAGTCAAACAGAATATAGAGAATTCATATGGACTAAGGTTGCAAGGATAATGAGGAGATGCGCGAGCACCACTGCTCGCGACACAGCTCTGGAGAATGGACGACCGGAAGCAATGGGCACCGTGGACGTGGAAGCATCGTCCGATTGAATGACTATAATCGATTTCATGAAGTAATCTAAGAAAATTCTTTGAAACAAAGTAAAACGTGCTATTCTTCAAAGGTGCTAAAATATCTAGTATCTGAAGGACGACAAGTGACAGCAATTACCCTACTTGATAATCAGTGAGTTGCTCACATCATGTATTTTTTTGGTTGTGTTGACTTTTCGATGCAGGATTGCAGATGAAACCAAAAGCACCCCTGGGCATATTCAGTGGACTAATACCCATCTATCAATGGCTAACCGCAAACGGAGCTTTTTTCGTGTCCGTGACTTTGAGTAGCCTAAGTTCATGAAGTATCTCAAGTCAGGATAGTACAAAAAACTGCCACGGTGTTGTTCAAGTTACCACGGTAACAAGGTCCAACGGAAACCGACAGATGATGGAAACCTAACCACTCCATTAGTCTCGAGAACAGTTCTGGGATTTTCGTTCACTGACTTAGGAAATTGCCATTACAATAAACGAATAGAGATGGCATATAAACTTATGGTAGATAAAGACACCAATGCCGGTGAACAGGTGACGAAAGAACGGGAGGATCGTGTGCATTGTGAGCTTGTTATTGTGGAGTACCCTCCGAGATACGACGATGATGCTCATACAAAGGTGGTAAGCAAGATAAATGGAAACTAGGCATAACTCACGTCAGAGTAGCATTCTGCTAATTTCGCGTAGTAAAGCGCATCCGATTGTAAAGCCTGAGTTTTCAGTTCCAGTTCCTTGAGAAAAAAATAAAAACCCACAAAAACTGCTAAACATTGTAAATCGGACTCAATATTAAGTACGATACAAAAACCGTAACACGACAATGATGATCTCCTTTATTTAACCAATAACTATTATTAATGCGATGGGTTGAGTCCCAGGAGGGAAATGAAAAGTTTCAAAAATGACGAAACAATTGTCCATCGCCTTTTATCGATCATCGAACAAGGATTGGACTGTGTACAGATTAAATTTATTACCTGATAAAAATCACTGAAATTTCACAATGAATGAATACAGAATCCCAAGGTGATCTGAGCCTCGGTACAGTTTCTTTATCAACTCATAAAACAGTAGACAAGGAAACCTAGAAATAAGGTACGGGGTAATAATTACGATAAACCTAGTGATCACCTACCTGAACACGAAGTTCGACACGATGGACATTTTGTAAAGCCTCAAGCTGAAATAAAAAGGAGAGTGACATACCAGTATTAGATATTGTCGCCAGTGCACAAAATTTAAGAGGTATACAATGTTCAGATTAGTAGCGTTTACTGTACTTTCGGGGCCCAAGGTCTATATTGTTTGTTAGTTGTTTCTACGACGAAAGTGACAACATATGCATTATCTCAATCAGAAAAAATGAAATGAAGTGAAAAGATTATGTCGAACGAGATACCGAAAGAAAGAATAGATGAAAGAATATATACTGAGTTGGTTTTCATTGATTGAGTTCTTCCTCATTTGTTGACAGAGTGTAACAGTATTTTTGCAAATGTCCTAACCTACCGTTTGCGACGACATGTTTTGGGTGGCAATATTTACCACAATTTAAAAATAAGCTAATCATTGTGCGGTAGGGCAATTTTATACCGAATATACAAACCAGTCGTGAAAATTATAAACCACGGTGACCATCAGTTAGGTCTGAATTGGGAGTATCAGATAAGTCATACTTCGAATAAATACATAGAATCATGGTTAGGACAACAGTTTTCTGCCTTTTGCTCAAGATATTCACCTGCTGTGATTCGTCCAAGTACAAATTTTATTGACACGGGATGACCGATTCTGGTGGGGTGCAATATTCACGAGTTTTTCATACCAGGCGTACCGTAGTTTCAAAATAGGGCACTGTACTCAAACATTTCTTTTGATCAAGCTGGTCCTCTTGGAAGATTCACGAATGTTTCAATGAGCTCAACTGGCCAGTTTTGACTGGATATGCCCACTTGCAAAACACTGAACTGAGTGGAGACTTGAATATCAGATCAATTCTGGTGGACATCAGTTGGGAGTCAGTGAGGTTCGCTCCAGTGTACTTCACTACACGATGCTAATGAGCTGCGAGTCATCTACCACCCAGA